GTATGAAATGACGAGCAAACAAAGAAAAAACAGACAAATTGGACTTAATGAAAAATTTAAAATTTTAAATCTAAAAGGACACCACTAAGGAAGTGAAAACAACACATAGAAAAGGAAAAGGTATTTACAACTTATGTATCTGGTAATGAATTATATCTTGAATATATTAAGAAATTTCAAAACCAATAATATAAAGACAATTGAACCAAATTTCCAGGAGTCCAGCGATCCTATGGTGGGTGTTCCAAAGTAAAGGATAAATAATTTTGCCTTGTACCTCTTATCCCTAAGAAAGCACACACTGCAGAGAGGGTCCCTTGGAGTTTGGAGGCAGCATTTTCTATACTTAGGAATACTACCATGAGCCATTTTGGAGGGCCACATAGCATGCTGAGCAAAAGAGGCATCTTAGCAGGTGGTAGTGGTGGCATGAGCAGCCCTAAACCTGTCACGAGGACCTGACAGAGCCCATGGCAAATACCATGGCAAGAGAGGTTTCAAAAGGAGTTTCAGGAAGGTTCTGAAGGAGATGTTACAGTACAAATTCCTGGGATTCTTGAGCAAGGCCATGCCACATATTCACAAAAGAGTTCTGAGCATGGTACTGTGCTCTGGCAGGAACTCAGCATCTGACCTTGGGCTATCAAGTGACGATGTGGCTGAAATGGCTCATCAGAGCTGGGTGCTGTTGGAGTCACTAAATCTTAAGGTACACAATGGAAGTGGTCTTGCCAGGATCAGCTCCAAGCAAATTAAGCAAATAAATTGTACAAGTAAGTGACAGGTAGCCCCATGTGGCCTCATTCGGTGACACCTGAGGGGTGGGGCACTTAGGAAACAGTCACCTGGAGTACAGGGCTTCTGTGGAGCACTGGAGAACCGTGTCATGCACGCGGTGATGAGTGAGAAGTGCAAAAGGAGACAAGGCTGCAGCAAAGTTAAACTGGTTGGTTCTGGGCATCAGGCAGAGCAAGAGTGGATATTTGAGACAAGGAATCCAGAGAGATTTGTGTTACCATCCTCAGAACTTCGGGCTGTGGATCTCAGAAAGGAGAGGAAGGGCTTTCAGCAGGGACATAGTAAGAGTCACACAAAATATAAAGCATCACAGCTTCAGTCACTCTAGGTTCCTCCGGCCAGCAAGCAAAGGAGCCACCATGCGGGCCAGGATCTCATGTGATGTTCCACGGGGATCCTGTGTGATCTGTCACTGTAAATGAGGCATGATATTCAGAGCTCAGACTGAGCAGGATCTGTATAAATCTTTTTTGCAAAAAATAACCCAGCTATTAACATTTTTTCAAGTAATTGTATACAGAAGAAAGAGGAAAATCCAAATAACTTTAGATTATTTGGATTCAGTCTCCATGTCAACATTGATCCCTGGGACCCAAAGTGTCATCAGAGATTCCCTATTGGGCAATAGATGGAGTGTTAACCCATTTCCACGTCACAGTGGCTCCACGGGTTCTGGATCATTTGGTCAAGCAGGCCACTCAGACCTGCAGAAGCACTAACTGCATCCAGGAGAGGGGGAGCTATAAAAGGTGAAGGAGGAGGGAGTGGATGCCACCTAGTTAGTTATATTTTTGCCTTTGAACTGCCCAAGGCCACATTCTCCCACTGGCCTTTCTCTCCAGGTACATCTGCCAATAGGAGCCTTGGGGGTCTGAACACAGTGAACCAAACGAGAGATGCAAGCAGGCTTGAGCCTCACCCAAAGGCTCTTGGCTGCCAGCCTTTGTGTGCTGGTATCTCCGAGTTTACCCCTCACTGGGGGAGGCTGTGTATTGAGACCTCACTCAAGATAGCCCCACACCCTTGGGCTAGAAGTAACCAGCCTCCCCCTTCGATCTTCCCAGGCTGCTCTCCTCCTCTCTCCTGTCTCCCTCAGGCACATGCTTGACCAAAAACTCCTTCCTCTTCCCAGCCACGGATCGGTTCTCCATCACCTGATGTTGCCTTTTGTTGGGTGTCCTGTAAGTAGACTATCACAGTATGTAGCCTCTTTAGACTGTCTTCTTTCACTAAGCAATAGGTCTCTGAGATTCGCGGTGACCCTGGTGTGGTGGGCCATGGCGTGGTCACTAGCTGATGGGCATATGAGTTGTAGCCAAGCTTTGACAATGAGGAAAAGAGATTCTCCAAACATTCCCAGAGAGCATTTTGTAGGAACAGAAGTTTTCCTCTCTTCCTTTCTTCATTCTGTCCCAGGAGTGAATTGCTGGTTCATGTAGCGGATATAGATTTAACTTTGTAAGTAGATTTCTTTATACTTACAATTTCCCTGTTAATCTCAGTTCTTTCCTCTGTACTTTTAGACAGCCAGAAGAAGCCAGGCAGGAGCCTGGCTATCCTCTAGGCAACTCTCATTCATTTGCTGCATTTCTTAGTTTCCATTTCCTTTTCCATTGCCCGGTGACAATGTTGCTAAGTTTCTCACCATTCCATCACAAGGGTCTCCTTTCCTCTAGCTGTCAAAAACACTTTCCTCTACATCCTCATTATTAGTCTCAGCAGGGTCCTGCCAGTTCTCACCCACTGCCGAGTCCCAAAGCCCAGGCCACATGCTTTAGGATATGTATCAGCAGAAACTGTGTTCCAGTACCAAAACCCATCTATCTTGTGCAGCTCAAATCCCAGCAAATTCAGGGCTGTGAAAGCATCCACTGACATCTATTACTGTTACTGCCCACTGTTCTCTTTTGGATCATGCAAGTGCAACTGATGGTAGCTGGGGTGGAAATCACTGGAAAACTTCCTCACCCACTGGTGGTAGCTGGCTGGCTGTAACACTTCCACATGTCCTCTTCTGCGGCTGGAGACTCACAACATGGTGACTGCTTGTGAAGAGCAAGCATTCCAAGGTAAGAGAGGGAGAGGGGGTGGGGCAGTGTTACTGAACACTTGTGCTGCATTCTATCAGTCATTAAGCCAGTCCATGTTCAAGGAGAAGGGGATTACACTCCACCTCTTTAAGAGGAGAATGTCAAAGAATTTGCTGTCGTGTTTGTAAGCACCTCAGTGAGCCACTTATCAATGTGGACTGCTGAAGAGATGGGGTATATGCAGAGATGGATAGAGGCGAGATGATGTATTGTTATTTACCAAGATAGTTGGTTATGTGACCTATTTATCAAGGTGGGGAATCCAGGCAAGGAACAGATTTTGAGAGCTTGAGTTTGTTCTGGGCATGGTTGCAAGATGTTTATTGGTGATGGAAATGAAAACATAGAGTGGGCACTCAGGAGATGCTAGCCTGCAGCAGAGAGAGGTCAGGCCAGAATACCGACTTATCACAGAGATGGTGTCTGAAGCTTCAAAGCTGGAGGAGGTCACCAAGGGTGAGCATGGGGAAAGATGAAAGAGTGACCAGGGCTGGGAGGAGGTGGACACAGCCTTCCTGACCACTAACTCTATGCCACCCACCTCCTGCCCCAAGTGAAACTCTGGCTTTGATGGGTAGTCAAACTTCATGGTGAGCATGTGGTCTGTGAGGTGAGGGAAGTTGGCTGGGAGAGATTTTCAAGGCCATCCAAAGAGACACATGCGAAGAGATGGGAGGTCTGGGGCAATGGCAGCCATCCTGCCACCACAAGGCAGGCTGGGACTCCAGATTAACAAATCCTGGTGCCCTATCTGGGGGACGCTTGTGACTAATGTTGAGTCAGCAAGCTCTGTGACTTGAAGTAGAAGGCATCCAGTACCAGAGTGGAGTGAGCAAAGAAACCTGCAGAGCTGTTGAGGTGAGAAATGGGTACTGATATGTGTTGTCCTGTGAGAGCACATGCTGCCATGGAGCACCCCCTCCCTGTCCAAAGGGGCTCTAAGCAGCTCACACATAGTAACTAAGCCCTAAGAGCCTCTCTTGAGTTACGTGGCTATCGTTATGCCATTTATAGATTGGGCAATGAGGCACAGACTGGCGCAGGAGCCTATGGAAGGTCCCACAGACCAAAAGTAAGAGCAGGGGTATAAGCGAGTGTGGGTGTTCTGTGCTGTAGTGACACTGTATCTTTTCAAAGAAGAGGATCCTGGCCAGCCATCCAATGCTGTGTAATTGAGGAAGAAATAACTTCCTGGAAAGGCGCAAAGTGCAGGTCACCTGCAGAGCTGGGCAAAATAACCCTGAAGGGCAGTGCGGACGGTTTGACTGGCCAGGACTGAGGGAGCAGAGAGCTCACTGAGTTAGCTCTTAAAAGGCAAGGCTGTGAGATGTTTAAAGGCAGGAGGACGAGCTCTTGGTGAGCACTTAGTGATTTCTTGGATGGGAAAGTTCCTCCAGCGCAGGAGAGGAGGACAGCGCGGTGGAGTCGTGGGTTTGGGGATGAGCAGAGGTAGCTGCCCTGCTCGGCCCCCGCTTCTTCCAGGGGCTGAGAGAGATCTTTGAACTGGTGGGAGGTTTGGAGCCAGAGTACTATGTGGGATCACGGATTTGCTAGTGGCATTGGGCTCCATGTGAAGTTTGACGCCGGGAGCTTGGGGCCAGGAGACTGCCGTTTGAGGATTGTTCCAGATTTGCTCATCCACTTTGCCCCCCACCTCAAAGGGGGCGACGAGTAGCCGCGGCGGCCGCGGGAAGAGGGCCCGGTGACCGGGCTAGGAGGGGCTGCCGCTCTGGGGGCTGCCCGGGTCGGGGCGTCCTCCTGGCCGCTGCCCCACGGAATGGGGAAGACCGCCAGGCCCCAAGGGCGGCAGGGGACAGCCCTCCGCCTCTCCCCCGAGGTGTCTCCCTGCCGCGTCTGCCAGTCCTGGGAGGACAGCAGGGCCGACGCGGGGCCGAGGGCTTCCTGGGCGCCCTCCCCGCGCCCCGCCAGCCCCGCGCGCCCGTGCGGAGCAGGATTTGCCGCCGCCGCAGGCGGGGATTAGCGCGCTCCGGGTCGGCGCGGCAGGATTAGCCCGCGTGGATTCGACGCGGGGACTCGGAGCCCGGCCCGGGGATTACCGCGCGCTCCCCCCGACGTATATATTCCGCCGGCTGCGGCCGGGCCGGGCCAGCCATGGCTGCGGCAGGGGGCGCGGCGAGCCGCAGGGGCCCCGGGCGGCCCTGCCCCTTCTCCATCGAGCACATCCTCTCCAGCCCGCCCGAGCGGAGTCCCCCGGCCCGCCCCGCCCGCCCGCCGCAGCCCGCCGGCCGCCAGAACCCCGCGGCTCCCGGGGAGCCCGGGAAGCCCGAGGCCGCGTCCTGCGCCTGCTGCTGCTGCTGCGGCCCCCATGCTGCGCCCCGCGGGCCCCCGGAGCCGGCCGCAGGGCTGGGTGAGTGGGCGAGGGACGCGGGCCTGGGGGACCCCGGGTCAGGGTGCTGTCGGTTGCGAAGCCAGCGCCCACCCCGTGCCTCACAGCTCCAATCGCCCCGCAGGCGCGCGGCTGCCGTGGCCGCTGAGGCTGGGCCCCGCCGCGCCTTTGCCTTTGGCGACACAGACCCGAGACTCCGGGGCGCTGCATAGCGCTGACAGCCCCGGTCCTCAGCGGCGCACGCGGCGCCACCGCACCATCTTCAGCGAGGAGCAGCTGCAGGCGCTGGAGGCGCTCTTCGTGCAGAACCAGTACCCCGACGTGGGCACGCGCGAGCGCCTGGCCGGCCGCATTCGCCTGCGCGAGGAGCGCGTAGAGGTGGGTGTCGTGCCCACCGGGCAGCAGACTGCCAAGGCGGGCGGGCGTCCCTTCTCCTCCCATTTAAAAAAAAGGCCGTGGCACAAGAGGCCTCCGGACTGCTCTAGGGCGCAGGGCCAGTTCCGAGGCGCCGGGCCAGGGGGGCTCAGGGGGGGGGGGGGGGGGGGGGGGGGGGGGGATCTGCACGTGCAGCGGGAATTGGAGGAGCCGCAAGGCTTGCTTTTTCTGTCCTTTGTTTCGAACTCCCCACCCCGCCCCGCCCCCGCCCCGCCCCGCCCGCCGCTAAGTGAGTTGTGCATTCACACAACTGGATTTGGGAAGCCCAGAGGCACACAAAGTCCTAGAAGGAAGAGATGCCGGAGGTGCCGCTACGCGGAGGTGGGGGAGTGGGAAAGGGTGGCTGCACCGGACGGGCGAAGGGTTCCGGTTGCACCGCCCTAGCCAAGTCTCTAACTGCAGTGGGCCAGAGAGCGGTGCGGAGCAACCCGGGCCACCTATGGGAACCCGGTGAGACTTGGGCCCCAGAGCGGGGCCTGAGCAGTTCCTCCTCCTCAGGTCTGGTTCAAGAACCGTAGGGCCAAGTGGCGACACCAGAGGCGCGCGTCAGTGTCTGCCAGGCTCCTGCATGGAGCTAAGAAGCCCCCCAAGGAGAACTGCTGATGGTCCTGGGAGCTAGTCATGGGCTGGACGGAATCCTCCGGGGCTGTCTCAGAGAGAGGACAGACCAACTCAAAGGAACTGGGAGAAGACACCAGCCTCTTCCCCTCCATACTCTGCCCACACCCTTGAGCCAGAGCCCAACACCTGACCTCCTCTGCTGGAAACTGTTGGGTGTGCCCCTCCACCAGCTGCTCTACTGAAGGGGGGAACACAGAACACCAGTGTGTGCTCTCTTCCCCAATGGCAAGCAGAAAGGAGGGCCTTGGAGAATCACTGGGGAGTGAGGGGAGCCCCAGCACAAAGTAGAGCTTCCTCAACTCCCCACCACACCCCAGGACTGGAACCTCCCCTTGCCAACAAGAGGACTGAGAATTCTCTCCCTCCCAGAGCACGCTAGCTTCACCCCACCCCTCCCAAGCCCACCCCTCTTCCCTTACATAGCCCCTTGACCTGGCATCCCAAGGCAGAGTAGGTGGTGTCTGCATCCTGCGGTTGCCTCCAGCTCTCAGGTTGCACATTGGGCTTTGGGTCCCAACCTATAGAATAAGAAATTAGAAGCCCTCTTCCCAATTCCTTTATCCTGTGACCCTTGTCTTGGGGAACACAGCCCACTGAGTCCAGTCCTTGTGCCGCGGAGACATTCAGGTAGACCAGACTGCCCATAGACTGCACCCTGGAAGCCCGCAACGACCTTTTGATGCTGCCAACCTGCTTCGTGGGTGGGCATCCTTTTCTTCTTCCCTTCTTTCTAGGCTGTGTTGTCCTCCCTTCTAGCAGTCTATCTCTGCCATGCGGTGGGGCAAGAGGAGATTCCATTAGATGGCCTGGGATTGGATTCCGTCTGCTCTCCTCTCCATTATCCTGGCTGCAGGGTGAAGGATAGTGTGAAAACAAGCCTTTGATTCCCAAAGTAAGCCTGGATTCAAAGGACCTAATAGCCCCCTCATCACCTTCTGCCCTCTCAAAGATCCTGGAGGGAATTGCAGGGGGTAGCTGGAAGAACACATAGTCCATCCATAAACATTACATAAGCCAGGAGTGCAGTTTTCCAGCTCAGAGTACACCCAGCAGGCATGGTGTCCCAGTCAGGGCTACCTTAACACTGGTGGGGCCTCCACGATAGCAGCCTTATCTCCACCCCTTCTGCCTTTCACACAGCTCCCTATATCCTGGCCTATCCTTGGAGACTGCACAGTCCATCTGTGGAGCTCCTCTGCAGGCTGGCCCACCCTCATCTCCCTGGATTCCAGGACCCTCACAATCCCTGGCTGAGTGGCTTCTCATCACTGGGCAGGGCAATTGTGATCAGAGCTCCACCTTCAAGTGACTGGCAGTTATGCTGCCCTACTGATATTCTCTGTTTTGTCTAGCTGCTCCTTGGCAGGCCCATCTCCACTGCTGGCCATTAACATAGGTGTTCTTCAGGTTGCGTCCTTTGTACTCCCGTCTCATCACCATTCATTCCCTGGTTTATCTCTTTCATGCTCAGACTCCAGTTCCCATCTCTCTGCACATTTGCATCTCCAACCCAGGTCTCCCCTGAGTTAGATATTTATGTCCATCTGTCCCCCTGACTACTCCACCTGGGAGCCCATGATTCCTTTAAGCCACCTCATCCACAGTAAGTTCTTCCCCGGTGCATACCTGGTACTTAAGCCCGAGGGCTGGCTCCTCCTCTCCCTCAGTTGCTATTTGCAGACCAACAGCAAGTTGATTTTTCCTCCAAAAACTAGCCCAGAATCTATATTTTCTCCATCTTCAACTGTATCAACCTGATGAAAACTACTGTCTCTCACCTTGACCATAAAGCCTTCTCACCTGCACCCACTCTGGCTCCTCTTTAATTCATTTTCCATAGATGCCAGGGTGCAAGTCTGAACCTATCTTTCCCCCTGCCTACAGCCCTCCAAGGGATTCCCATTGCTGCTAGAGCAAAAGACAGGAATTCTCACCAAGACCCTCCAGGCTCTTCTGGCGTCATCTCACACCTCACTTGCATTCTGTGTATCTCTTGCACATGCTCTTCCCTCTGCACCTGATCAATGTCTGTTACTCTTTTGGATCTGAAACCACTTCTTACCTGGGAAAACTTCCCCTGACTGCCCCCTAAGCAAGATTACCAAGTACAAACTTCTCTTGCACCTGTCAGCTGCAATTTTATGCTTTTTTTTTTTTTGTTAGATGGCCTAATTAGCATCTCTCTTCCCCATTTGACTGTCAGCAACAGGAGGGCAGGAACGATCATCAGTGAATGAAGAATTGACTGCCTTTTGTACTAAATCATTCTTTACTTATTCAAACTTATTTGACTTCGTTCACAACATCTCTTTGGGAAAAATCATTTCTGAAAAATGTGTAGACAGTTTTCTGGTCCACTTCAATGAGAATTAGCCCCATTATGGTATTAGGAGACCTAAAATTTTTAGCCAGATATTTCTTCATTGAGCCATGTTATGTTTATTTCTCTTCTTTTTTTCTTTTGTTAGACAACAAGGAAAATAGTTGTCTTCGGGTTCTTTTCTTACATAAAATTTGAATAAAAACTTTGAAACACTCATATAACCATATTTTCTGAAGAGTGTGTTTTTGTTAATAGTATGGAAGCATACGTAAGTGATTGTTTGTCAGAAATTGGAATTTCGAGGCCTTTCCATTCCGTGGTGCTGGAATTTTTCAGCATTAGCCTGATGAACACGCCCCATACACCCCCGAGCACAGCGCCCCCTGGCGCCCGCAGTTCAGATACTCCTGACCAGCGCGGGGCGAAGACTACAATTCCCATAAACGGCAAGGTCATGTGGTGACGTCATATGGTCCGCGGGCGGGCCTTCGAAGCACTCAGCTTCCCCATTGGGTAGCTGTTTGAGGCGCCTGCGCAGTTGGCGCAGTCTGCCCCACCGCCCAGGAACGTACCTCCGCCCCTCGGGTGGTCTTGGGATAGCGATGGAGACACCCGGCGCGTCCGCCCGGGCGCTCTTGCTCTCTGCGGCGCCCGGAGCCCGGAGAAAGCGCGCAGCCGGGGAGGCCGCGGCAGCGACAAGCAAGCAGCAGATACTGGACGAGGAAGAGTACATCGAGGTAAGACGTAAGTGCGGATGCCAGAGACTTCCGGATCCTCCCTCTTGGCGGGTGCCTCCTCGCGGGCTGTGTTACTACTGTCCTCGGGCGGAGCTAGCGCCTCCGAGTTTCTGCCCCTGTGGCGTGGTCGGTCGGAGAGCCACTTAAGCACAGTGCCCAGGGAGGTGTCCTCGCTGGGGAGGCCCTGACATTGTCAGGAGAGAGAAGGGCTACATTCTATGTGATGTTAGGGGAGGCAAGGTTTTCTATAAAAGCTTGAGTAGGCGTTTTGACATACTGGAAGCATGGTGGCTAGGAGGATTTTCTAGAGAATGGTAACAGCTGGTGGAAAGGCCAGTGTTTGTGGTGGCGTCATGGAGTGAGTTGATGCCAAAAAACAAAGTCAGCTTTATTGAACTTGATGAGTCCCTAGGGTGGTATTTGGGGACAGCAGGAATCACAGATGGTAAGCTCAGGAGCAAGGCCTGACTGGAGGTGCAGACTTGGGAATCTCAACCAGTGGTGGGGTGACCAGTCACCCAGGAAAAGGGTTCATATTGGGAATGGAAGGTGGAATAAAGATGGCAGCTGATGTGGACTTGGGGCCAACAAAAGAAAATGAAAATGACCAGTTAGTGAGGGAAGAGAGAAGAATTTCTTGGGAGTCAGATGAGCCGTTTGTAATGTTCAGTGTTGTGGAAAAGCTACTGAGATGATCATACTTATTAAAGAGTGCCAGTAGATATGGGAGCAGAGAGAATTTGACTGGGGGGGTGTAGTCAGCAGGGACCTTAGCATGTGCATTGGTGGAATGAGAGACAGGGGTGCCCAGATGGCAGTTTGACCTTTCATTCTTCTACAGGGCCTCCAGACTGTCATCCAGAGGGACTTCTTTCCTGATGTGGAGAAGCTGCAGGCACAGAAGGAGTACCTGGAGGCTGAGGAGAATGGAGACCTAGAACGGATGCGCCAGATTGCCATCAAGTTTGGCTCTGCCTTAGGAAAAATGTCCCGCGAGCCCCCTCCACCTTGTAAGAGGACTCAGAGGGAGAGAGTGGCAGATAGAAGAATGTCTGCTGCATTGTTGCCTCAGGCTTGCTTTAATCTCTATTCCTTACTTTCCTCCAGATGTGACTCCAGCCACATTTGAAACCCCTGATGTGCACACAGGTACTGCTGTGGTGGGCAACAAGTCCAGGCCAAGGGGTAGAGGCCTAGAGGATGGTGATGGTGAGTAAGAGCCCTCTTTATGTCACCCGCTCAGGACTGCTTGGGAATCTCACCTTGTAAGGCCTTGTAAGGCCTGAAGGAGTGGTCCAGAGGCAGGTCACATGTTGTCCCTGAGGAGTCTTCTAGCTTAATTGGCAACCCCCAGGATCAAAGAGTACTTAGTCTGGGAGGCAGAAGATTAGGGTCTAGTTCCTAAACATGGGGCAGTCCTTTGAGCCTTTTGTTCTCCTCTGTCAAATGAGAATCTCACCACCTCTTTCACCAGCCTGTTTACTGCCAGTATGCTTTGTGGACCTCAGAGGGCTCCTTAGGATGTCTCCTTACGATGCATCAGGGCCTCTGTTTCTCTTCTGAGTTGGTCACATCCTCAAGATAACTGTAGCTCACTCTCTTCCTTCAGGTTTCTGCTCAGAGGTTATTAGTTCTGTAAACCCCTTCCTGATTTGGTGGGAAGTCTCAACACCCCATCTTCTTGCTTGTTTTGTTTTCGCTCTGTAGGACATGACGCTTAAGGAGGCATTTCTGCAGAGTCTTTGTCTTGTTCCTGTCTGCACACTCTGTATCTAGAATAGTGCATGGCATGTCTTGCCATCGACTCCATAGATGAACATGTAGTACAAATGTATGGATCATCTGGGGTGAATATGATACATCCTGACTATAGGGGAATCTTTCTAGAAAGGAACATTCTGAGCTCTGTTGAACGTAATGCGTCACACGCTACGGGACTTTGTCATTGTCACGGTTTTCGTCAGTAGAATGGCAGTGCACAGAGAAACAAATGAGATGCTCTTCTCTACTAGGTTCTAGTCTGTGATGTGCCATGCTGACACAGATGTTTCCTGTGTGTTCACACAAACGTGATGTTTTCTGTCTCAAAACCCAACTTTTTCTGCCATTTACATAGCATGTTGCATTGTGTTTTCGGTACTTGATTCTCCATTGCACTGTGGCATTTGAATCATGAGGCAGCTTGCAGGTTGTTTTTCTTTTAAATATGCCTTACATGTCAGTATTTATGTGGTTTCTTTAAATAACTATAGTAGGTACTGCTGTCGTTCACATTCACAGGTGAGGAAACCTGCGCTTCAGAAAGCAGTAACTTCTGCTGGTCTCAGGGCTGGTTGGTGGTGGAATGGCATTTGGGCCCTCAGCTTTCTGATCCTAGGTCTTGAACTTGAACCACAGTGCTTTATGCATAGTGCAGCAAGTAAAATGTGACCAAGACTGTACCTAGAGTGGGAGAAAAGGTTCTCCTTTGACAGCCCTGCTGAAGTCTTAATAAGCCCGCACAGTGTTTTCCTACCTCACTGGGAATACTGCTCTCAATGGTGGAGGAGCAGGGTAGCTGAGGTTGTGGCCCAAGGCCTTTTTGCCCCATCTGGAACACTCAATCTTGCACGGTCCCTGCCATTAAGACCTGGTAGCAGCTTTGGGAGGCTTAGGTGACAACTATCCACAGATACAAGAAGGGAAAGGAAACCCCAGAGAGAGAGCCCAGGATTTGGAGTCAGGCCCTATAGGAGTGGTACAGTTTGGGTGACATAGACCTGCCATGGGCACCTGCTCCTGCTTTAATGCCAGATTCACTCTTTTTTTTTTTTTAATTAAAGATTTTATTTTTTATATTTATTTATTTATACAAGCATTGGGTACAGTCAGAAGCACAGGAGGGTGAGAGAATTCACCAGAGCCAGAGCGAGGGGCAGATCAGGCAGAAGGACCAAAGTACACTGCTGAGGGGAGCAGCGGGTGGCAGGAGAGGTCTGCGCGCCATGTGGGACCCTCCTCCAGTGGCTGGGGAGCAGCCGGGGATCGAACTGGCGCTGCAGAGGCTGCGGGCAGCTTTGCAACCCGGCGCGCAACAGCTGTGCCACCGGGGAGGCCCTCTTTTTTTTTTTTTTTTTTTTAAAGACTTATTTATGCATACAAGAGCTGGGGTACAGGCCAGAGGTGAGGGGGCGTGAGAGGATTAACCAGAGACAGAGTGGGGAAAAGAACAGGCATACTGACTGAAATACACTGCTGAGGGGAGCAGCGAGGCAAGGCAGGAGAGGTCTGCTGCGCCATGTGGGTTTCTCCCTGGCTGGCCTGGGATCGAACTCGTGCTTCAGAGGCTATGAATTGCTTCATAGTGCATTGCTTAACCCCATGCACCACGAGGGAGGCCCCTTACCCCTCTTTTGATCTGTATTGGATCACACACTTCCCTTGGCATCCATCAACTCAGATGAGTGCCCCTAAAACCCCCTGGGAAGTTGGGGTGCTTGATTCTGTCCCCAGTCCGAGTGTGGGTTCTCACAGATAGCCCCAGGAGACGAGGTAAGGGTTCCAGCCCTGCTTGTAGGGTGGTTTGGTTTCTGGGACCAACTGACTACCAAGGGGTGTTTATGCTGTTGATGATTTTGTGAAACCCTACCTGTACCCCTAAGCAGGAGAGGCAGCAGAGGAAGAGGAGAAGGAGCCCCTACCTAACCTGGATGTCTTCCTGAGCCGGTACACGAGTGAGGACAATGCCTCCTTCCAGGAGATCATGGAGGTGGCCAAGGAGAAGAGCCGGGCCCGACACTCGTGGCTCTACCAGGCTGAAGAGGAGTTTGAGAAGGTGTCTCTGGGTGCAGGGGCATGGTCGCTCTCTATCAGGATGGGTGGGGTTCCAGGGCCAACAGTGCCTGAGGGCCTCTCTGACTCTCAATTTCCCCTTGTGATGCAGAGGCAGAAAGATAATCTCGCACTCCCGTCAGCAGAGCACCAAGCCATTGAGAGCAAGCAGTCTGGTGTGGAAACCTGGAAGTACAAGGCCAAGAACTCCCTCATGTACTACCCAGAGGGTGAGTAGGCAGGAAGCATAGGTTAGAGTTATGTTTGCATCTGACCTGGGGCGGGGGAGGGGGCGGGGTGCGTGTATGTGTGTGTTCCCTTCCATCCTGAGCCTTGGGTTCTGGTCTGTCTTGGGGCAGGTGGTCTAGGTATGACGTCAGTAAGGGAGTGCGGTCCTCTCGTTTCCTTTAGCTCCTGCTTTGTGGAGACTGAACTCCGTGCTTCTAAGTTCTAAGCTCCAAGCTTCTGTTCAGCATAGAGAGAGTGACTTGGGGATCAGGTGGGGCCTGCTGCCAACTCTGTTCAATTCACCAGGTGTCCCTGATGAAGAACAGCTGTTTAAGAAGCCCCGGCAGGTGGTGCATAAGAATACTCGCTTCCTCAGGGACCCTTTCAGCCAGGCCCTGAGCAGGTCCCAGCTGCAGCAGGCTGCAGCCCTCAATGCCCAGGTGAGTGGTGGGAGCTGGTTGGAGCTGAATCTGGGCAGGTATTCAATCTCTGATCTTGACTCTCACTTCTTAAATTAGCACTGTTCTTGACTTTGGTGGAGCTCAATAGTGGGACACGATTTGGAGTTGTGTGTGGCAGGATCCTGAGTCTTTTCTTGATCTATGTGAGCTCCTAATGGGGCATTTTCTTGGTCAGACACATATCTGTGGGTCCAGATCTGTGACATTTCCCTTGGGGGCAAAGATATGAGAAGAAAGGCTTCTGGAACCCAATCCAATCTGGTCATAGCACACACCATGCACCTGGGGGGGGGGGAGCGGGGAGGTTGTTGTGACCAAGAACAGAGATCTCTGCGCCTAGTTGCAAGACAGTGGTTACTGTATGATAGTGATTTTGGAGGGCATGGGTTTGAAGGGGGAGAGGCAGGAGGTGAAGCAACTTTCGAAGGCTCTTACAGGTACTTTGTGGGAAAGAGACTCCCCTAGTTACTGTAACCCCTTACAAGGGCCTTAAGTCAGTAGAGCCTGAAAGAAACCTTTGTGGGATGTGGCCTGGCACTTCCCTGGATGGAAGGAGGGGAAGTTTCCCTCACTTGTATGCCCATTTTCACAGATCTTCAAGGTCTTTGCAGGAGCTGGCGTTCTCCTTCTTTCTCCGGGGGACTGTCAGCCCCAGAGCCCTGGCTCTGTTTTAAGGAGGTGAAGTGTGTTCCTGTGCATTTGCCCATCAGCCAGCTGGGGAAAGAGGCTCTGTCCCTCTGACACTGTCTCTCTGCTTGTTCCAGAACAAACAGGGGAAGGTGGGCCCCGATGGCAAGGAGCTGATACCCCAGGAGTCCCCCCGAGTGGGCGGATTTGGATTTGTTGCCACCCCTTCTCCTGCACCTGGTGAGAAATATGCCCATTGGCAAGCTGGCCCCCACCGATTAGACTGTGGGGGAGGTGGGTTGATCTGTTGGCCTCAGCCATTCCTAGTGCTCCTCCAGGTCTGCCTGACACCTTGTGTGACTCGGGGACCCTGTGCAATGATGAGGCCAAAGGGGACTGTTGGCAGGCTGGACTCTCAGGCAGACTTGACCTGAAATGTGTACATGAGACCTAATCTGTTTAGTGGGGTGGTCTCCCATCATCACCCTAGCTAAACTCAGCAGGACTGGGTTTGCTGGGAGCCAGGGATTTCACAGCTCTGCTGGACAATGCTGGCTGTGGTGAGTGTGCTGAGAGGTTTAGGAGTAAGCCAGGCCTGTATTCTAATTTGTAATGAGGGCAGTTTAATATAGTTGACTGCCTGGTGGGTGTCTTTTAGTCAGGCCTGAGGGGTGCTGTAGTCCACGTATACCCTTCCCTCTACTTGTCCCATCTCCTGCTGCTGGCCTGGACTGGAGCTTTGAGTCCCCATCAGTCCTGGGGTAATGTTTCCTAGTTCTGGTTCTTGCTTCCTAAATCCAGAGAACACTGTAAGAAGGAGTTCCCAGGCTCCAGCCTGGCGTCTCCTCATATGGGAGATGAATGAGACTCAGGGATGGTCTCATGGTACACACTGTGTCCCTCTTCCTCCTGTGCTCTGGTGTCCGTGCTGGTTGCTGTGCCACAGACCAAAACATTTGGAGGTGCCACAGGAGGAGCATTTGGAGGTGTCTAGGGAGGTGTGGGAGCTCTGAATGCCCCCTGGGGGTGGCATACTACCAGTGACTTAGGAGGCTCTGGCCCTGTGCTAGAGTGAGGTTCTAGCTGACCCAGCCCAGCTTCTCTGGGAGCCTCCTGACCCCATCCTGAGCTGCAGTTCTGCAGCAGCATGCTTTGGCTCGTAGTGGCCTTAAGTGTTTCTCTCTAGGAGGGCAGAGGTCCCAGAGTTTTGGAGTCCCAGGAGAGAAGAGAGGGCCGCTGCCTGCCTTGTTTGTTAGCTGGGACACACTGGGGGAATTGGCTGTGGTGCAAGGGAGGCCTTGGGGAGTGCCTCTATCTGGATCCCTCTGCTCTTTCCATCAACAGGTGTGAATGAGTCCCCACTGATGACCTGGGGAGAGGTCGAGAACACACCCTTGAGAGTGGAAGGATCGGAAACCCCCTATGTGGACAGGACACCTGGGCCAGCTTTCAAGGTGGGTCATGCCCCTCTGGCAGTGTCCAGCCCAGTGCTGGCCTGGGCATAGGAAGAGAGTGTGGGTGGGATCCTAAGTGGATGCATGGCCTCCTAGGGCACAGAGGATGACCCAACCACCAGTCAAAGCAGAGACCACCACTGGGCTGGGCCGAGCCACATGCCAGGCTGTACACCTCCTCAGGTGCTGTGTTTCTATTTGGAACCAGGCCAGTGAGGATAGGTGTGGGCTGGTCTTTCAGGGAGGGAATGTGTTTGGTGGGCTGGGCACCAAGCTCGAGAGTAAGTCAGCTCCTCTGAGTCTGGAATGCTGGAGGACAGGGCTGCTCAAAGATGAGGGGTGGTCTGCCTGAGGGCTGGAAGGAGCCCAGGACCCCAGTATTCCCTAGGATGTGGTTTTTGTCCTCAGAAATCTGTCTGCTTGCAGAGAGAGGCTTCTGATGACTAGAGAACATAATTCATCTCCAGCCCTGTGTTGTAGGGTTCCTCAGATTTGGGGTTTGCAAGACCTGGAGCAGGCAAGGGAGGCTTTTTGTGGACTGGGCAGGGCAGGGAAACTGGGTAGCAGGTGGTATGCCAAACGGGGTTGGCACAGGATAGTGTAGGTGTCCAGGCAGGCAGATGGGGCCTTGGAGAGACATTGGAAAGCAAGGTTCTTCCCTCTGCTTGAATGTTGGGGAAGTTGAGTGATTGGTTTGATTTGGCAAGGAAAGGAAGAGAGGGTTCCCAAAGGTGGGAGCACGCAGCCCTATAGCTGGGGTGCTAGATCACTGTGCCAACTGCAGAGTCAGCCAGGAGAACCTGGGAGGTAGCTGTGGCTGTTGAAGAGAAAAAAGGATACAGGATTACATCGTCTGCTTTGAAATCCCCAAAAGTCAGGTATGGAGTCTGGAATTATTTCAGAAGGTCTGTGGAGGGGCTGGGCCAGTCTTCTTGAACCAGTCCTTCAAACACTGGCAGTGATCAGTTGGAAATGCACAGAAACAGAGGTAACACTCCCTATAGCACACAAATTTAGGACAACTATGAATAACTTAGTAAGGAAACTGCCAGAGGACATCGACTGACTGGCCGTGCCTCAGGGTTTGGGCTCTGCCCTGAGGCTTCCCCACCATAGCCCCACTTCTGTGGTATCAGTAGTTCAGAGAGGAAGCACATCCACACAGAACATGCACGGGGGTTTTTGGTAGCTTGGTGTTAAAATGTGTCTGGGATACAAGGATAACCTAGAGGAATGATGGAGAAAGCCTGTGCTTTCAGGTCCTATGCTCACCACAAGGCTTAGGATGTATCAGGATGGTGCCGCTGGTCCTAGAACCTACAGGTCAGTAGGAAAAGATTCTGGACCAAATTTCAGTCCTAGTTGGCATTTAGGATGTATTAGAAATGGCAATTCAAATATTCTGAGCGGTATTTGGGAAAAAGTAAACCAGATCATCTATAAATTCCAGACATTTGGAAAAGTTAAATATAAAAACAAAATCTGGAAACAATAGTTATTACTTAATCTGAATTTTTTTAAATTTATTTTTACGTAGAACTGGGGCTAAGGCCAGAGGTGCAGGGTGTGAGAGGATTCACCAGAGACAGGGTAGGGAGCAGAACAGGCGAATTTACTGAAAAGCACTGCTGAGGGGAGCAGCAGGCAAGATAGAAGAGGTGTGTTGCCCCATATGTGTGTTAGCTCCCTGGCCAGGAATTGAACTCAGACCATATCGGTGATAGTGCTGAGACTTAACCCCTAGGGCACCAGGGAGGCCCTACTTAACCTGATTTTGAGACAGGAAGGACTTTCTAAACACAAAAATAGAGGAAGAAATTACAAAGGATGTAGTAGCTCAGTAACAATGTGTGAAAATGATAAGTGACAGCAGAAAATGTCATAAAACTAAAACCAATAACAACAGAAATGTGTGGCGTAACTTAGCATGTCTGACACAGGTAAAGGTCTTTTAAAATGGAGAATCAGCAAGCCAAAATAAGCACCTCAAAGGAAAAACTGGCCTAGGACTCATTTCCAGTTTTTGAAAGAAACAGAGAAAGGTAATAAAGAAAGCACTTCATTTCAGTAATCAGAAAGAAACAGATTTAACAAGACCTCTCTTCCAAAAGGTTGTGTCAGACGCTCCTGTCTCAGCAGTGCTGGCTTTGGGAGGAGCATGAGGACAGGCAGGCAGCTTAGGTGGGCTAGCTGGTGGCTCTCAATGACTTTCAGGGAAGGCGGGGTAGAGAGAGGAGGTGTTGCAAGTTGTGGAAGCCACAGGCAAAGGCAGACATCCCCAGCGATAAAGTACTGCCTGGCTGGGTGAAGGCTACTCGCGTGCGTTCTGCCTTTTAGATCTTGGAACCAGGCCGCAGGGAGCGACTGGGACTGAAGATGGCCAATGAGGCGGCTGCCAAGAACCGGGCCAAGAAGCAGGAAGCCCTTCGGAGAGTGACAGAGAACCTAGCTAGGTGAGATCTGGCCTGACTTGTGTATGGGGTGGGGTGGGGGGGGTTCCCTCCTTTCTCCCACTGGCCTCAACCCCATAAGTGTGGACACAGTCTGTGGAGCAGAGTCCAGGGCAGCCCTGAGTGGTTCTGTGATGGGTCCTATGGGGGCTCTTGGATCCAGAGCATGGCACCTTTTGAGCCAGGACCCCTCTCCAGCTCCTTCAACCTCCTCCCTGAGAGCACCTTTAGGATAATCTTCCCCTTGGAGAGAGTTGGTGTCCAACTCAGCCCCAGAGCCAAGGGTGGCACCATTACCTGACCTCAAGTTCGGCCTTACTGCTGTATGCCAGACTGCCCATGGTCAACAGCCCAGAATGACTGTTTATCTCCCATGTGTCTTGCTTTGGTGTCTGATCCTGTCTAATCCTGTTTCTCTCTCCCACCTCTTCCACCCAGCCTCACTCCCAAAGGCCTCAGCCCAGCCATGTCCCCAGCCCTGCAGCGCCTTGTCAGTAGGACGGCCAGCAAGTACACAGACCGGGCCCTGAGGGCCAGCTATACACCATCTCCAGCACACTCCGCCCATCTGAAGACCCCAGCTGGTGGGCCCCAAACCCCCACGAGCACACCAGCTCCTGGCTCTGCCACACGCACCCCCCTCAACCAGGACCCAGCCTCCATCACAGACAACTTACTACAGCTCCCTGCCCGCCGCAAAGCCTCAGACTTCTTCTAGGGCTAGGCCCGGCCTGAGCTTGTGGAAGCTTCACAGAGCCTGTGGAGCAGCTGTCACCCAGCACAGGACTCTGGCCTTCTCGGGAATCAGGCCTGGACCAAAAGTGTTGATCTTTCTAGGAACCACAGAAGAAAGATATTGTGCCACCTAGGCTGGCACAGGACACACCCACTTGGTCCTTGGGGTGTATCCCAGGGCCTTGCCGATACTGTTTTCTATTGAACCCTCCCACCTATTTCTATTTAAGTGTCATTAAAAAGCACTTGGCACAGTCTGGCAGGGCCTCTTCTCCATCCTGCTGCCTGCACAGCCCTGAGGCTGCCTTCGTATTTGCATCACCATCTCAGGAATGCAGCTTCCCAGGGAGGCAGCTGCTGGAGGGTGACCCTTGGAGAGCCAGGTGGGATGGCCTTTCCTGCCGCTACCTGTATTGCTCCCTGGGCCTTGGATTCTATCTTCTCAATTGAATGCACAGCACCTTGGTTTCCCCTTTCCCTCAAGTCCTTTCTAGTCTTCTGAGAGTAGGAACATAACCCCTGGAAGTTGTGCCCTTGAGGCTCATCTGGGACTCTGGGCCCAAGTCCACAGCCTCCCCAGACCAGCCTGGCCTATGTGGTTTCCTCGTGACGAACTGCATGAGTAATACGTCAGAGGCTGCACCCTCTCATCAGGTGCCTTTCCTGTGGCCTCTCCTCAGCTCCAGCTCACCTGGCTTCCAGTTCAAGTGGGGCAGGTCAGGTAGCTGTCCCTGTCCTCCCGTGGTGCCTCAGACCCTACCTGTCTTATGCTACTAAGTCACCCGCCTTACTCTTTTGTTTCTCCTACCAGCAAGAACCCGCAATAACCTGGGCTGCAGTGTCAAAAGCAGTGAGGCTGGGTCCCACCGGGACCCATGAGTGCTGTGTGCACCACAGGCTAGCACTTGTATATAGGCCTGATGGTATAGGTGCTGACTTCCAGGAGGCCCAGGGCCAGCTGCTGCACACACAGGTAGAGGGTCCTGCTCTCTGGGCATAGCTGGCTCCCAAACCAGTGTTCTCAGGCCCCTGGTGGGATTGGGTTGTGCCCTCTGGGGGCTGTGCTGCTCAGGGTAGCATCTTGGAATGTCCCTAGACCAGAGTCCTCCCTGCTTTGAGCATGCCCAGCCCTTTAGGCCAAGCCCTCAGTCCTCCTATGTTGTTCTCTGTGGGCGCACTCTGTAGGCTGGTGCAGGACCTGTCACCTAGCTGGGTCTGTGTTCCTGTGAGCTGACCTGGGGCAGTCCTGAGCTATGCGACTCACCAAAGGGGCCAGAGCTGGGTCAGCAGGTGAGCTTTGACCCAGCTGGGACTACCCAGGGTCAACAAAGTGTGTCTTTGGTGCTTTTATTCCCATAGAGAAGTGTAGACTATTTGGCTCCCAAGGGAGCCCCCAGGAAGTGGGGAGTTAAGGTTTGAGCGGGTGTAAGATCCAGAAGGGGATGCTCTCCAGGCAAGGGCACCTAAGACCAGGTGCTGACTGCTTCAATCACTTGACTGGCAGGTGGGGATTGCCTTGGAGGTTGACAAGTGACAACAGTGAAGGCTGCTGGGAAGGGCAAACAGGAACTGGTGGGGAGGGTGTAACTGGAAGGTCGGCTGGCATGATTGGGTGAGGTGGTACTGCTCTGCCCCCAAGGGCAGTGTACCCCGGATGTGTACCTGGCCAGCCCTGGAGTGCTAGACATGGGCAGATCAGAGCAGGTGGGCTATGGCAGCACAGCGCTGTTCTCTCTGCCCATAAGGCCTTCTCGTGAGTACCTGGCCTTGGACCCCTACACTGGAGACCCAGGTGCGCCGCAGGGAGGAAGGTGGTTGGCTGAGTCCTAGAGAAAAAGACTTCTCAAGGGGCACTCTGGATGCTTGTATACACTTTGTGGTTTATTTGGTGGTCAGTAACGTCTTTGCTACTACGAGGAAGAAAGCTAATAGAACGTAATCAAAATAGTGGTTTAATTGACGGATTTTACTTGTGCCTTGCACCTGTGCCTTCTTCAGCTCCTACCTGCCTGCTTAGTTAACGTGGGCGCATGCTATGCACCACACCCCTGGGGCCCTCAGCACACTAAGTGCTTGCTTTCCCCACCTCGGTTCCAGGGATGTGATGGTCTTTTGCCCTGGAGGTCTCGGCCAGCCTGTCCTCCATCCTGTCCTCATTTTCGGGCACTACCAGCAGCCGGTGCTGGGTTTTGGCTCCCAGCTTGTGATCCGGCCGGTGCTCGGGCCGAGAGCCTGGCCGAGTGTCCAGTTTGCACTCAGCTCGGTACTTGCCCTCACCCTCCCTCTTGAAGGAGGCAGAAGACATGGCTTTGGGCTTGGGGGGCTGCAGCCACGAGTGGCTGAGGATCTCATCAATGTGCAGCCGCCGGTTGACATCTGGCTGCAGGATGCGGTAGATGAGGTCCTTGCACTCGCCTGTCAGGTTCTTGGAGCGGGGGAAGTCCACGCGGTGCTCCTTCTGGATGCGCAGCATCTTCTTGATGTCAGAGTCGTCATAGGGCATGGAGCCACAGACCATGATGTAGAGGATCACGCCCAGGCTCCAGATGTCATACACCTTGGGCTGGTAGGGGATGCCCTGCAGCACCTCAGGGGCCGCGTAGGCTGCCGACCCACAGAAGGTCTTGCTGAGTGTGATGCGCCCACTGCCATCCCGCAGGCAGCGCTTGGAGAAGCCGAAGTCGGACAACTTGATGTTGAAGTCCTTATCAAGGAGAAGGTTCTCACACTTGAGGTCTCGGTGGACGACATCTAGATCGTGGCAGTACTTGACGGCTGAGGAGAGCTGGCGAAACATCTTGCGCGCCACATCCTCGTGCAGGGCTCCCCGGCACTTGATGAACTCCAGGAGGTCGCCCTGGACCCCAAGTTCCATGACGATGTAGATGCGCCCATCAGATGTCTCAAAGATCTCGTAGGTCTTGATGATGGAGCGGTGGTTGACAGTTGCTAGGATATCCATCTCCCGAGGAAGGAATCTCTCCACAAAGTCGGTCGGTGTTTTCTTGCGGTCGATGATCTTGACTGCCACATTGAACTTGAGGCGCTCTGAGTAGGCAGATTTGACTTTTGCGTAGGAGCCCTTGCCAAGATTGATGCCCACGATGTAACCCTTCTTCCTTAGGACTGCGGCATCATCCATGGTGCCAGGAGCGGCCGGCGCCGCTGCCCTCTACATCCCCTCCCCACGTGGGCCAGTGGGCATCGTCCTCATTTACACTGTGGGGAGCCGTCTGGCTGGGCTGGGCTGGGCCTGGACTTGGAGGGGTGGAACGCTCAGCATTGTCTCCGGGTGACTTCAGCATGTGAAGTCATAAAGCCAGGCTTCAGGGAGTGGGGACTGGGCTGGGGGGAACGGGGCCCCTACAACCCTGGAAACCAGGCTGGCCTGGCAGGAGCGCCCATACCCTGCCTACTGGAAGGAAGCTACCAGCACCCAGGAACTGTGGTAACCCTCCCTGGTCCTCCTCATGGTGGCTTCCCTGTCACAAGTCAGGCCTTAGGGGAGGCTGCCCAACTCCAGCCAGAGTGCCAGCCCTGTGGCTGTTTCCCTCTCCTGGCGTTAGAGATTGACCCTGCACTGGTCCTTGTCCCACTAGGGCCAATTTCCTGCAGCTTCTTTGGGGCGTGAAGGCAGCTGCCACTAGGGCTTTGTCCTCGGAACCCATGCTACCTAGGAGGGAGCACCCTTGGCTCGCCAGGCCAGTGGTGGTTCCAAGGCTGGTGGCGCAGAGTAGATCCAGTTTGCGGTAGAGCTTCTGGATGAGTGCTGCCACCGTGGCTGGGGTAAACAGACAGCCATGGACTAGGTTTCCGTCAGGGCTCAGCAGAGGGCCCTGGGGCCCAGCAGGCAGATGTGTTCTGAAGTGTTGGGACCACTCTGACGGGTGAAGTGGTGAAGTGTGTTCCAGCCAAGGAGAGGAGGTGGTGAAACAGTAGAGGGCTTGTCATGATAATGGCTGAAACCCACAGTCTGGAGGGAAGTGGAGCATAAAAGGAAGCTTTTCCTTGAGTGATGGGCAGTCATGGCAGGACCCAGGGCAGTTGGAGCCATGACTCAGGCCATTTTCAGATGATCCCTGGCAGAGTACACAGAAGGGCTTGGAGTGAGTTTGGGGTGCCGTTGACCAAGCAAAAGGAGGCTGGACCTGTGGGGATCAGGTGGGCAGAGTGAGACAGAGCAGGATTTCGTGTGCTGGTCATCAAGTTGGAGCCTTGGTACTGGGGTCCCAGCAACACCTAGAGCATTAACTCTTAAGAGCCAGACTTGGGTGAGGAGGGGCTCCTGAATTCTATAACTGCACCTTTGTGAAGAGCAGGTGTGTGGTGGCCTGTTGGAATCCAGGGGCTAGCATGTTGTTTGCATCTCTCAAATGGTCTTGCACCTGGAAACAGCATGAAAATCCTTTTCAGGATGCATGTATGGGTTTCTGCCGTGGAAAACCTGGCAACCTGTATGCTTGCTTACACAGTCTCAAAGCCCTGCTGTTCACTTGTCCTGTCATAAGCATCCTGCACCCACATGCTGTGACTTTGCCAGGATAGGCGTGTTGTGCACTCAGTGTTCAGGAGGAGATGAGGAAGGCTGTTTCTGTGTGGGTGGTGAGAGAGGTGACCAGAATGCAGTGAGCAGCAGGGCTTCCTCAGGTGAATGAGGGGCAGGACATTCCAGGAAGGCTGGAGGTCTTGGCCAGGGCCTGGCCTCAGGACATACCTGGAAGGCCTGGGGACCTCTGTGTTTGGGGGTCCATCTGGAATACTGCAGGGAGGACAGGACAGCCAGAGTCTAGATGCAGGCAGGAGTGACTGGTGGAGCAGGGCAGGCCCACAGAATCTTCCCTTCGGCAGTCAATGCCTCCCTGAGGTGACTGCCTAGAGGAACATGCAGCTGTGGGGACAGAACTGGGGACCTTGTTAATAGCTTTAGCTCAATGCCTGTCACTTCTTTTGGCCAAAATCACCAGAACTTCAGTCCTTTTGTCCCAGAAGGGGCTGGCTGTGAGGGTTTGCAGGCCAGGATCCAGAAACATGACACCACTCTTTCTTCTGTGCCTCTGAACACCCTGTTTAGGGTTCCCCCTTCTTGTCTGCTTTCTTGGCAGATTCTATCAACCCACCCCCTTCCTTTTTTTGTGGATTCTGTTCCCAGGGCAGTGCGACCTCTTTGGTTCTTGGGGGACATGGTGGAGGAGGTAGATTGTAGCATTACACAAGTGTAGCTACTGAGTGTGGAACTTGTGACTTCAACCAGACGTGCATGCAGAGGCCCAGGTTCTGCTGGTGTATTGGGAGGAGTGCAGGGGGCATTAGATTGGATGTGGGGGCCTCCAGGGATACTGCCAACACTGCCATTTTGTGGGTTGGAGTTGTGCAGACCAGGAAGGCTACTTCCCTCTGAGGTCTTTGATTTCCTCCATAAAGTGGGCACTTGTTTATCCATTCACCCTAGGGGCATTTGCGGGCCCACTCCAGGTGCTAGGAAACACTGAATAAACTACACAGGACCCAGGGCTTCCTGTAGCCCTGAAGCTACACCAATCATTTGAATATCTACTGGGGACTGTGCCTCAAGGAACATGCAGCTGTGTGGAGAGAACTAGGGACTGGCCCTGGGGAGACTGGGAAGGCTCAGATCTGAGGAGTCAGCCACATGAGAAGATGAGGACTGCTAGTGCATATGACAGCCTGAAATGACAGTGGTGAGCGTGTGTGGGGCGAGAGGGAGCCAGGAAACCAGGAAGGTCACTTTGAGGGTCTTGATCCTAACACCCTTGGGGGTCACTGAAGGGATCTGAGCCAGGGCCAACCACAGTGAGTTGAATAGCTCATAGGAGTGAGCCGGAACATGAGGCCACATGGGGAGGAGTTGGCATCAGTCACCTGGGCTGCAGCACCTTGCTGAGTGATTTCAGGCAGTCACCTACCCTCTCTGAGCTACCTGTTAAGCACACGCAGGTGTTCTTTCCTGGGACCCCTCCCACCCACCCATGGCTGGCTGCAATTACTCACTCCCAGGCCCACTTACCGCCCACTGTCCCAAGCTCCACACACCATGCCACCGAGATAACCAAGGGCGGGGGATTTGTGGGCTTCTCCTTGGGGCCTCCCTACTTAGCTAGGTTCTGCTCTACCCCCAGAAGAGCAAGGTGACTGTCCCAAGACCTGTTTCTCCACTGGAAAGCTTGCATGACTCCTCCGGTGTTACTCAGGGCCTCTTCTTTGCCCAGACCCTGGACACTCATGCTCACAGTGGCAGGCTACCAAGTGCCTTTAGGAGCGCCCAGAAGTCTGTGAAGGCTGTGACTTCTCATCTGAAATGGGCGAGGCCTGCAGGGTACATCCATAAGCATGACTACGGCATGTATTTCTAGGGGGTAAGGCTGAGGGAGGGTGCTGGGAGACCAGGAGAAGGCCAGACCTGGAGGACCTCAAAGGCTGGTCATGGGAATCTTTCCCACAGACAGTGGGGTCCAGATTGGCCACTGTGGGAGGTCATAGGGCAGGGACTGAAGCCTGGTGGCACTGTGTAGTATGACAGGCAGGAAAGAGGAGATGGGAGAGCATAGGTTGTGTGAAGGTGGCTGTGGGGAGAGGGAGGAGCCAGACAAGAAAGGTGGCCTGGAGGTGGAGAGGGGATGGCAGGATAGGGGCACATCGTCCACTCACTTCTCCAAGAGACTGAGGGTTGGGGTCTTCCCAAGACCAAGAGACATGGGCAGGGGGAGGATGGAATCTGAAACTCTTGTCCTCTTGGTGTGTTAAACCTGCAGGTTTACACGAGGTTGTCCAGAGTGAGTTCAGAGGGAGAAGAGAAAGGGGGCCTCAAAGCCCAGGTGAGGATTGCCTGAGAAGTGGCAGGTACAGGACCATGAGGCAAACCAGCAGGAGAGCAGTGCGCGAGAGCAGTGACGGCTGAAACCAGGCATGCGTTGTGACCTCCTCCCCGCCAGAGTTAGCTTCTCTGTTCTGGCAGGGAGTGTCACCCTTGGGAACAGACTAGGACTTGAGGGGAATGGGATGTGGTCAAGGCCACAGTGGCTGTGAGCACATGCTCAGGCTGGACTGTGGAGGGGCCATCCAGCAGAGTTCCCTGCTTCTTTTAGGCCAGGGGAATGACCATAGGGCAGAATAATCTGGGGCACTATTGAGAACCGAGTGTTGACTAACATAGTGGGAACCCCTGGTGGACAGAGCAGAGCAAATGAGCTGCCCTTTAAGTTGGGAGTTTAAGAAAGACTGTGCAACTGGCCCATCTGCCATCTGCAGGCTTTCTCATCAGCAGCCTTGTTGGGGCTGCGGGTGCTGGGATAATGAGGGTCCAGATCTCAGCCGCCATTCAGAGGAAGCCTGCTCTCCCAATGGGAGGTACCCCCACCTCCTGCCCCTCTGCAGGCAGCCATGGGTTCTTGGATCTATCCTCTCGTCTCCACCCGCCCCTTACCCCCACCCCCGCCGAGCACAGCTCTCATGGGCCTCTGGAAGCAACATCTTCCTTGCTTGGCTCACTGCTCTAGACCAGGACCTGAGGGCATAGTCAGGGATGGGCATAGTGGAACACACTTTCCCAAGCAGGAGTTGTGGTGTGGGGAACTGGGAGGAGTACAGGATCCTCACCCTGGGTGAATGAGGGCAGTCAGCTGGGGCAAAGACATTCACCTTGGGGTCTGCACCAATATAGTGATTTATTGCTTCTTTAGCCATGTGGGTTATCAAGTTCGAAGGGAGGGAGAAGAAACTGACGAAAATAGCGGCTCAACCGAGACTGTCTTCTTTCTCTGGCTTGCCCCTTGGCTTCTTCAGAGCTCAGGCTGGAAGCCATGAGCTCTGCGTAATTGCCTACTGGCCCCCTGGGCCACCAGAGGCTCACTAGGTGTGCTGGGTATGTGGCTGTGGAGGCTCCGGGGAGTCCCCTTCTTCTGTCTCCTTGTTCGGTGGCTGCTCTTCGACGAGACCCTTGGTCTCGGATGGCTTCGGCACTTGCATTTGCAATGGTTCCTGCTCGGGTTTTGTCTCAGGCTGTGCCTCGGTCCGTGATTCTTCCAGGGGCTCCAGTTTGGTGGCAGACTTCTTGTCAGGGCCAGGCTCAGCGGGCTCAGTGCCCCGGGAACTCTCCCCCTCCTTGTTGATAACTGCAGAGGACAGGCTCCGTGCCTTGGGTTGCACCCAGCAGTGACTGAGGATCTCGTCGATGTGTAGCCGCCGATTGACGTCCGGCTGGAGCATGCGGTAGATGAGGTCCTTGCACTCACCTGTCAGGTGCTTGGAGCGGGGGAAATTGACGCGGTGCTCCTTCTGGATGCGCAGCATTTTCTTGATGTTGGAGTCATCGTAGGGCATGGAGCCACAGACCATGATGTAGAGGATCACGCCCAGGCTCCAGATGTCATACACCTTGGGCTGGTAGGGGATGCCCTGCAGCACCTCAGGGGCCGCGTAGGCTGCCGACCCACAGAAGGTCTTGCTCAATGTCAGTCGGCCGCTCTCATCTCTCAGGCAGCGCTTGGAGAAGCCGAAGTCGGACAACTTGATGTTGAAGTCCTTATCAAGGAGAAGGTTCTCACACTTGAGGTCTCGGTGGACGACATCCAGATCGTGGCAGTACTTGATGGCTGAGGATAGCTGGTGGAACTTCTTGCGAGCATCGTCTTCTTGTAGGGCTCCCCGGGTTTTGATAAACTCAAGGAGGTCGCCCTGGACCCCAAGCTCCATGACGATGTAGACCTTGCCATCAGATGTCTCAAAGATCTCATAGGTCTTGACAATGGAGCGGTGGTTTAGCATGGCCAGAATCTCAATTTCCCGGGGAAGGAATTTCTCCAAGAAGTCCGTGGGGGCTTTCTTGCGGTCTATGATCTTGACTGCCACATTGAACTTCAGGCGCTCAGAGTAAGCGGATTTGACTTTTGCGTATGAGCCCTCTCCCAAATTTATCCCCATGATGTAGCCTCGTCGCTTAAGGACAGCAGCATCATCCATGGTGCCAGGAGTGCCCAGTGCCTCTGAGGCTGCCCTCTACATCCCTGCGGGACATGGGCCAGGGACGTCCTCATTTACAGTATGGACAGAGAGTCCTCTGGGCTGGCCAGGCCTGCTGTCCCTGCCTCCCAGAGGCCAAGACTCTCGGGTGGAACATTCAGCATTGTCTCCCAGGTGACTTCAGTGGGTGAAGTCATAAAGGAGGAGTGCTCTGGGGAATGGGCTCTGGCCTGAGCCACTTGGACTCAGAACGCTAGAAGGCTGGCCAGTGGGCTGGAGGCAATCAAAGGACAGAAGAGAGTGGCCTCACATTTGGCTGGGACCTGAGGTAGGAGGGGCTGTGGGGAACAGCTCAGTCTGCCATACTTCCAAGCCTAGAGCCAGGGCAGTGTGTGGAGTGGTGGTGATTACTGCAACCTGGGGCATCCTAGGAAACCTAGATGGGTGGTTGTGTTAGCCTGGGTCCCAGCAGGAAACAGAAGTTTCTCAAGTTAGGGCATCTGAGGAAGTTTTGCTAGTAAAAGTATGATAAAGGTGGGAATAGAGTATAGGGGACTTCACGGGTAATAACAAGCCTCTGGAGAAAGGGGGAGCTGGCCACTGGAACCTGGGAAGTATACTGTAAAGAGGGTCACTTTGAGAAGGGCAGTGACCCCACAGGAAGAGAGTTGGGGCAAAACATTCCTGACCTCTTTTCCCTTCCTTCAGTCCTGGAAGACCTTGATGGTATCCACACAGGCATCCTGAAGCCCACAGAGCAGAGCCAAGAAGGGTAGAGGTAGGTGGATCAGGAGTAGCAAAAACTCCTGGCCTGTACTTATGGTTGAAGCCAGAGCTCTGCCTCCTCCCTGCATGGTGAGCTAGACTGTCCACCTGCCTGCCCTTCTTTTTTCATCATCTGAAACTTTGCTGGACTGCTCCCACAGTGCCTTTGTGAGGGGGACAACTGGCAGGGATTTCTGCTCTTGGATGTTCCTTCCTGGGGGCCTGCCCAGCCCATAGTCCTGGCTGGGCTCCCAGGGTAGATTGGGGGTTGGGTGTCAGAAGGCTGGGTCTGGATTCTGCTCTGAGTGCCAGCAGCTGCTTCCAGGAATGCTCCCTGAGAACAGTGCAAGTGGCTAGGGCAGCATTAAACCATTGTTTCGGCCAGCGGAAAAAGGGAGAGATGGTCAGATCCTTTGTTTAGCACATGCACTAGGATGTGCCCTTGAGGGGACAGGAGCAGGCAAGTTTGCCTAGCCTTGTTTGACCTTGGCCATTTCCACCCAGAAAGAGGGGCACCTTTTCCTCAGATGACCCCAGGTGTCACAAGCTAGAATCCTGGGACACTCAGGAGTACTGTACCATGCCTTGAAGAGGCTTGAGAGCATTACTCCTGGGGAGTGAGATGGTGGGATTGGGAGCAGGTCAGGCTGTGATGGGTCCCGCCAACTTTGGCCCCATTCTCCCTTCTCTCTGCTCCTATCTTCACCTCCTTCCCCAGCCTCAGCATCCCTGTGCAGGCCTTGTAGCTGGTGGTCCTTCCTCTTTCCTGCTGAGGATACCCCAACTGCTGTCTTCCCTTCTGTAATCACCCTGTTCCCAAAATATATGAGGCCAGCCTTTGGAGCGCTGTCCCACGGGCTTTTCTTCCTCACAGACGTGGCTTGCTGTGGCAGTGTTCCTACCCCTTCTTCCCCCCATCGCGTATGCAGGGCCCTTCCTCCAGAGGCCTGCTTTGCTCTAGTCGCTCAAGGAGCTGGACTTCCCAGTCGGCTCTCTTTGTATACCCTTCATGTTATTTCCTCATCGGTTGGAAACATTTTCAGTTGTGTGTGCCAGTGAAGCCACACTTACCTATACCTCACAGTGTTGACGCTTTTTCCTCACCCCCAAACCAACTCAAAGACAATTCGGTGCCTCCTTCCAGTTTTCCTCCCTTTAAGAAGACTACTTTAGGGCACACTCCCAGGCGGCTGACAGGACTTGTGCCTGCAGATGTGCAAGGTGTTAAGACGCTTAGTGTCCCGGGGTTCTGCTTCAACCACCACCCGCCCGGTCCCCCTCATCTCTGTGTCCCGCCCCTTTTTTCATATTTGGCCCCCCTGGGCCGCCCGCGGCCCTTTGGCTCCCAGCCTCTCCGGCCCACTGCCCGGCCCCTTTCTGTGTCCGTCATCTTGGCCCCCCGCCCCTTCCGCACGCCCTCTGCCCGGCGCCCCGGGGCCGCAGGCCCTCGGCAGGCCCTCTCCCCGCCCTGGTCCCCGAGCCCCACCTCTCCGCTCGGCCAATGGCAGGCCCTTGACTCCTCCTAGCCCCGCCCCCCAGCATGGCCCGCCCCCGAGCTCCGCCCGCTACCGGCCCAGCTTTGGGCCTCGCCGGGGTCAGGCCCCGCCTCCCAGGCTCCGCCTCCCGCTCAGCCGCGGTCCTCGCGCCGCTGGGAGCCAGCAGGCCCCGCCTCCCTGCTCGGAGCTCTTTGGCCGGAGCCGGCGACGCGGGCGGGAGGCGGGGCGCGGAGCGGAGCAGGACGGCCGCCATCTTGCGCGGAGCGGAGCCGGAGTCGGATCCTCAGGCCGCTGCTGGGGGTGCGCGCGAGCCCGCGGCCCTGCCGTAGCCCTCCCCTGCAGCCTCCCCGCTCCCGACCCCGTGCCCGGCCCCGACCCGGCCCCTTGGCCCTCAGCCCGGCTTGGTCCGGCCTCCCCGCGGGGTCACGAGGCCGCCCCGGGGACGATGAACGGAGGATAAATGGTGCCCAAGGCAGACAGCGGTGCCTTCCTGCTGCTCTTCCTGCTCGTGCTCACCGTCACCGAGCCGCTGCGGCCAGGTGCGCGGTGCGGTGGGCGCGGCGCGGTGGGGGCGGCGTGTGGGGGCGGGGCGGGGCAGGCGGCGTGCGGGGCGGCGGGCGCCCGGGACCTCCCTCCCTCCCGCGGCCGGCGGGGTCGAGTCCCGGGAGGGCGCCTGCCGAGGCCTGCCTGCTGACCGCCGGCCCCCGCGGGGGACCGCGCCCTGAGTTCATCTGGCTCTGAGCGCCTAGTACACCGTGGAACTTTGTTCACGAGAAAGATTGCTCTGGGTCCACGTCCGTGGACCTTTGCGTGCTTGCTTTAAGGTTGATGGAAGCGAGTGATGTGCGGGGCTCGGCCAGACTTCTGGGGCCTGGGAGTTCTGTGGCTGAGGGGTTGCGCCCCTAGGCGCCCCCTCCTAGCTGGCCCAGGGGTTGGGGCGGCTGAGTGCTGGGGGTCGAGAGGGCCGCTCGTGGAGGTGCCAGGTTTCCCTTGCTTCAACTTTGCAGTGCCTTTATGCCAGCGTCTCGGCCCTGGAAACTCCTGGGCTGGAAGACGGTAGCCTTGTCCCTTGTTGTCACTAGTGAGGTGTCACACCTGACAAGCACTGGGCTCGGAGACTCTCCCCGCGGAGGTGGCTGGAGTCCGCAGAGCGTTGCCTGTCGGAAGCGACGCGCTGGGGCTGAGGCTGACGCCCTGCCCGGTGGCGATGTTGCTGCCCCGGAGTTTGGAAAGTGCCAGGCACAGAGGAGCACTCCTGGTATGTGACGATTAAATATTTAACCGAACTCCCCTAAGTGGGCCTGTGGTGGGGAATCAAAATCATGGCAGCCATAAGGTGTCAGAATATTTTTCTCTTACTTGTTTTTGGTATACCGCCTCCCTTGACCTGTAATAAGAGATTGAGATCCCCAAATACAAGGCCAGGTGCTGGCGCCCACAATGCTTTTAGCGGCCTGTGGCTTTTAAAATCAGGGAGGAGAAATGCAATTTCAGATCAAAGAAACCGTCATATATACGTTATATGTTTATATATATATAAATACATTCATCCTTACAGCAATGCAATTGAAAAGTATGATTCTTAATTTTTTTTTTTTTAAATGGAAGAAGTGGCCCTTGAAGGCAGAAATGCCCAGGACCAACTCTTGAGTGTTCTCAGACCTGGTTGTACAAAGGCAGGCTTGGAAGAATAGCAGTGTGCCACACTCCACAGTGCCTTCGCCAAGCTCCCACCCCAAGCCTCACTGTACCTCTTGGCTCTGTTAACTTGATGTCTGCATGGAGATCTGCCCTGTATGCGTAACGGGGAAGGCCCTGGAACCATGTTCAACTTGAAGTCTCTCCAATTGATGTTTCTCTGAATTCCCAGAGTACACCTGCTTGATGACTGCATTTGCTGTTCTGTGAGCAGTGGGGTGGCCTGGGTGGGGACGAAAGCTGGGGAAAGGGTCACCTGTCAAGGGTTACTGTATGGATTCTTAAGGACCAGAGCCAATGAATTTGTGGGTTCTGTTGATTGTTTTTTTTAGAAGACAGGTCTGCACCTGTAGAGAGGTAAGATGTCATCCTATTTGGGCTACCAGTGCCGGTTTTTGTTCATCAGAGTCTCTGAACTCTGGGGGGTGAAACTACACATCATACCTTGTTTTCTTTGGGGTGCTTCTGGTTCCAGGCCTGTAATCTGCCTGGATGATGGAGGTGACTGATGTCCCCAACTTCTTTTCCTTTGCTTGTCTGTCCACATATTCTGCCAGAAGGCCAGCAGCAAGCAATTCAGCAAGTGCTCACTGTGTGCCCATCACTGGAGATGCTCAGATGAAGTGAACAAACCCCTCCCTCTAGGAGTGCCCTTTAGGTGTGGAAGAAGAGAGTTGGTGTAAATCGGTTTACTGAGTGTGGAGGCCCAGGGGCAAGTGTCAGAGGTGGCCAATTGGCTCTGGTAGAGGGAGCAAAGTTATTTAAATTCCATAACTCCAGATCAGAACTTTATGGTGACTCTGAGTCGTATCTTGATTTGTCCTGCAATATCTGTGGCACTCCAACTGGATCCTTGATTTTGATTGGGCAGTGAGGTTGGCTCTCAATCTGGGTCAGATGGGCTTGTGTTCTTATGTGCTCGTGTGTAATCTGTGACCTTTTGGAGAGTACCAGACAGGGGTGAGTTGGCTTGGATTTATGGGGTTGGGGGGTCAGTTCAGGGAGGGAAGCTTCTGTGGTCCTCACCTGCTTTCTGTTGGATCCTTGACTTAGAAGCAGACTTGCATGTAAGGAGAGCACCATCTAGAACCCACTTGGAGAGAGGGAGGGTGGGCATCCTTTCATTTCTGCCAGGTGGAGCCCTTGAGGACAGGCCAAACCAATTTGAGCTACAAACCACTTAACTTCACCAGTTTCTTTTATTTATTTATTTATTTACTTAGATTGATTTTTTCTAAAACTTTTTTTTTTTTTAAAGATTTATTTATTTAGGGGCCTCCCCGGTGATGCAGCGGTTGAGCGCTGGGTTGTGAAGCTGCCAGCAGCCTCTGCAGCGCCGGTTCAATCCCCGGCTGCCAGGTGAGGATCCCACATGGCCGCAGACCTCTCCTGCCGCCCGCTGCTCCCCTCAGCAGTGTACTTCAGTCCTTCTACCTGTTCTGCTCCCTGCTCTGGTGAATTCTCTCACCCTCCCGCACTTCTGACTGTACCCAGTGCTTGTATAAATAAATAAATAAATAAATAAATCTTTAAAAAATATTTATTTATTTATACAAGCACTGGGTACAGTCAGAAGCACGGGAGGGTGAGAGAATACACTGAGCCAGAGCGGGGAGCAGAGCAGGCAGAAGGACCGAGGTACACTGCTGAGGGGAGCAGCGGGCGGCAGGAGAGGTCTGCGCGCCATATGGGACCCTCGCCCTGTGGCCGGGGAGCAGCCAGGGATTGAACCGGCGCTGCAGAGGCTGCGGGCAGCTTCACAACCCAGTGCTCAACCGCTGCACCACTGGGGAGGCCCTATTTATTTATTTTTAAAGATTTATTTATTCATACAAGAATTGGGGTACAGGCCAGAGGTGTGGGGGGTGAGAGGATGCACCGAGACAGAGTGGGGAACAGAACAGGCCTATTGACTGAAATACACTGCTGAAGGGAGCAGCGGGCGAGTCTGGAGAGGTCTGCTGCGCCATGTGGGTACCTCCCTGGCCAGGGATTGAACACGCGCTGCAGTGACCGCAGATAGCCTCATAGGTTGAGTCTTAACCCCTTGTGCCACCAGGGAGGCCCCCACCAATTTCTTTTAAATGCAGCTTTTTCTTGGTTGATTGAGGATGTGTTACTTGCCATTCACTGGTATTCGTAAATTTAACTCTCAGGTGGAACCTGTGAGGTAGATACTGTTATTGGCCCTGTTTCACAGATGGAGAAACTGAAATACTCATCAAGCTAAGTGCTGAGATGAAATTTCAATCTAGAAATCCATTCTGCCCCCCATTGTGCACCCTTGGCGGGGGCTTTGCCCATTCCACTGATAGTGTCTGCTTGCTCCTTTATCTGTGCAGGGAACAGATATCGTTTGCTGATTCTGAAACTTTTTTTTTTTTTTTTTAAATCTTTTTTTTAAAGATTTATTTATTTATTTATTTATACAAGCACTGGGTACAGTCAGAAGCGCGGGAGGGTGAGAGAATTCACCAGAGCCAGAGCAGGGAGCAGAGCAGGCAGAAGGACCAAAGTACACTGCTGAGGGGAGCAGCAGGCGGCAGGAGAGGTCTGCGCGCCATGTGGGACCCTCCTCCGGTGGCCAGGGAGCAGCCGGGGATCGAACCGGCACCGCAGAGGCTTCGGGCAGCTTCGCAACCCAGCGCTCAACTGCTGCGCCACCGGGGAGGCCCTGATTCTGAAACTTTTTGTAGCTCCAATTCTGAAAGAAAATCATGCTGTAGTTTCAGCCACAGCTCTCTCTAGGGAGATGGGAATGCCCATCTTATTTTTTTGTTGTTGTTAAAAATTTATTTTTATTTATGCATACAAGAACTTGGGTACAGGCCAGAGGGGTATGTGTGTGTTGTGGGAGGGGGGTTTGAGAGGATTGACCAGAGGCATTGGGGAACAGAACAGGCAGATTGACTGAAATACACTGCTGAGGGAAGCAGCAGACAAGTCAGGAGAGGTCTGCTGTGCCATGTGGGTCACCTCCCTGGCCAGGGATTGAACTCATGCCGCAGTGGCTACAGATAGCTTCACTGTGCTGTGTCTTAACCCCTTGTGCCACCAGGGAGGCCCTGGGAATGCCCATCTTAAATTGCTGAGAAATGTTTGCTTTTTCTGAGTGAGTGCTTCCTAGGCTATGGTCCCTGACCCTTTAGAAAGTTTGGATTTGGCCAGGCTGCCTGGTAAAGTATCAGGACTGGAAGCTATCTTCCTTGTACTCTTGGGAAAACTGGCTGGATGAGACAAATGACTTGCATAAGGTCACACAGTTGGTGCACAGCATAGCTGGGATTCAAACCGTTAGGCTGGCTTCTACTTCAGGGTTTGTTCTTTGCCTTTAGGAACCCCGAGGGGCCTGCTGGCTGTGCTGAACTGATAAATTTTCAGCTGACAGGTGGCCATAGTACTTCCCCTCTGGATCAATATTTGAGTTATTGAATAGGAAGAATATGGATATTTTACAAGCAGACATGGCTGAAGCTCATAGAAATAGATGGAAAGCCCTGTACCTGGGCTTGCCAAGTGCCTCCTGAGTTTGGAATTCTAACCAACATAGCCCACTACCCTGTAACACTGTATATCTAACCTTGCTAGCAGATTGGGTTTTGGGCTTAACCATTTCATTCTTTTTAGTTGGAAACTAGTGAATTCTCTCTCTCTCTCTCTCTTACTCTCTCTCTCTCTCTCTCTCTCTCTCTCTCTCTCTCTCTCTCTCTCTCACACACACACACACACACACACAAGATAGTGCATATATATAACATTGCAGATATAAAGAAGCCTTTGGAGGTAATTTCAAACATACAGAAAAGTTGTAAGAATAAATTGTGTGCAGAGAACACCTGCT